TTACTGCTGCTTTAGCACTTTCTCCTATGATTTACTCCCCTCTAACCCGATTATCTATCCTTTGCTAGCTGAAAATCTTTTACCAGCTTAGAAAGTGTAAGTTGGTGGCTCTAAGTGTTTCATTAACTCATAAAACTGAAGAGCTTTTTTCTGAATTAAATAACCACTTACAGGAATTCTTCTTTGAATTAGTTTCTCAATCCAAATTGCGATGGCTTTTTCTGTTCTTTCTAATAATACATCCATTGAGTAACATGAAAATTTGGCGCTTAATTTTGTACCAGAAATTATAGATTTTCTTTTAGCAACTTCATTCTGTTTAACTTGCTCTTACAGTTGATTCGCCTAAATTAAAATGTTTTCCAATTGCCATAGATCCTTCTTTTTAATTTTTTTCTTTTCCATTAAGGCAAATAAAATCTTAAAAAAAGAAATAAAAAAAATTGAGAAATTGAGATAGCAAAAACCTCTTCTAATGAAAAATAAAACTTTACGACACTCACTTGAAATATTTCAATCCGAAAACCGTGCTGCTTGCTTAGTGCTTATTATAGTGCAAATTGGAATCAGCAAAATTTTAAATAACTTATTATAAAACGAAGCACCGCTAAGAGAAAAAATATTTATAATACATACTTTTCAATGCCAAACTCGCAATGATGTAATAGGGACATCATGTAACAAGGGATTCCCCGAATCGCATAGGCTCACTTTACTGGCATGGCATATGGATGTGAATAGTTAATATTTAATTATAATAATTAGATTAGTTCTGTTAATAATAGATGAAATACAAATCGCACAACTTTAAAATCACATAGAAATAATCCACATAAAAAGAGACCTTACTCTATTCGATTCCGATGAATGTATATTTTTAATTTCAAAAAATCAATTACTATACCTGTTTTTTCACAAACAACTATATTTTGTGTGTTCTCTCTAAACTGTTCCGATACTGTGGTTACATTGATATCAACAGAAATCGATTAAGTTGTAATCAATGTTTACAGTATCTTTCCAACAAGTTAATTGAATCTGGTTTATTAGTGATTCTAATACAAACTTCATATAATGGAAAGTTTGTTGAGTAAAACATTAAATCTAGCTTGCCGAATGTTTACACGCGTGGATTGTATACAAATAGATGACATGGACTTAATTGAATATTTCCTATAATGTTCTAAATTTCTAGTTAGCAAGTTAGATTACATATTTTATGGGGATATTCCATAGGTTAGTATTGCTAAGAAATACTGAAAATTTTTTATTAAAAATGCAGTTCATTCGATATGCTATGTAATACTAGACACTGAAGAGAAGAGGATGACACGAAAAGACGATTTTGTAAAACGCGAAAGGACAGATGACATTACAGACGAAAAAAAGACGATTGGACTGTTTTAGAAATGACAGAGGACATTTGATAGGTGACACCATTCTTAGTCTTCGAAAAAAGGATCATACTGTTGCCATTATCAGTTCACGATAAATAAGAGACACAAGCCTGTGACCTTAGAGTGGGAGGAGCTTGCAATGCTATTGAGATACAAAATTTTCTCAGGCCCAAACGATACATACTCTGCGGCTTTTATGGCTGATGTTCTAAGAGACATCCAGCGATATATACGTCCAAAAAGTGTCATCTGCAATATTGACCAATAATGAGGACCAAAGAGTAAAGCTTTCTTAACCTTACATTTTGATTCGGCAGAATCTTAGTTATAGACGGTACAAGAAGGTCTAAAAGCAGCCAAAAATCGCAGAGAAACGTTGTCCACTTCACGAATTTACCGCATTCGCTGTAGGTCTAGTACTGTGTGTATTCAGACAACAAAATTTAATGTAAATTCAAAATTATTCGTCTTAGCCGCTCAGTGATGGTAATCATTTCGACTTCATTTGATAGTATAAGTCAGGGGTCTCCAAACTTTCCAGCCTTAAGGCCATACTGATTACTCCAGTAAGTTCCGAGGGCCAAGATGGCAACACTGTATTTTATATATTTTTTTATATTTTATTATTATTTATATATTTTATATATTTCTGTATTTTATGTGTAATAGAATTTTGCTGAAGTGTGGATAATTTTTTGTAAAATAACGAATAATTTAATTTTTTGTCAGTGTGGTAAGCTGTCAACATTATTAAGTATGTCAAATATTCACCTATTTTTGATATATTTTAATTTAATACAAGGTAGACATAAACAAACATAATATTTCCACCAGTGGAAATCTCCAATCTCTCCCGAGATTGTCTACTAATAACATAATTATTCTTTCTACTATTTTTCAACGCCATCGTTAGAAATTGTCACAAACACACTTAACTATCCGAAATAATAAGAAGTCTGAAAAATAATAGCCGCAAATCACTTAAGTGTTACGCACCTGATAACTGGGAGGAGACTAAAGACCCCACCTAAGTGGGACGAGTGCGAGGACGAAGCGATGACAATAGTGGCGTAACTACAAGTCAGTTCCTATGACACTGTTGTGAAATAAAATAGGGCGTACCTCCTTAAAACAAGTTTGTGCGTGTAACAGTATTTTGATTTGATTTGAATTGTTGCTTTTGTGTGTGATTTAGTAGAATGGAAAAGAAGCGAAAAATTGATAGTGAATGCAGAAAATTCAAAGATCAGTGGAACATTCAGTATTTCGTAATTGAGTCCAGTAACAAGGCGCTATGTTTGATTTGCAATGAAAGCGTAGCCGTTCTTAAAGAATATAACATGAAACGTCATTATGAAACAAAACATTCTCAAAATTACTCAAAATATACAGGAATTGTGCGGACAGAAAAATTCGAAGCTTTGAAGTGCGGATTGAAATCGCAGCAATCTTTATTTACAAAAGTCAAAACTGAACAAGAGGCGGCAACTCGTGCCAGCTTTCGTGTGGCTCTTGAAATTGCAAAACGTGGAAAACCATTCACCGATGGAGAAATGATCAAGGAATGCATAATTGCAGCAGTCGAAGAAATGTGCCCTGAAAAGGTAAATTTATTAAAAACTGTCAGTATGTCAGCAAACACTGTGGCTCGAAGGGTAGAAAACATCGCTGAAAATATATCCTCTCAACTGTTCGACAAAAATGGACATGTTGAGTGGTTTTCTTTGGCCTTGGATGAGTCAACGGATGTGTCAGATACTGCTCAGGTGTTGATTTATATTAGAGGAGTAGATAAAAGCTGTGAAGTGCACGAAGAACTTCTTGATATGTATAGTATTCATGGCACAACTACTGGTACCGATATTTTTAAAGGAGTTGAAATGTCCATTAATAAAAAGAACCTTCGATGGAAAAACTTAAAATGTATTACAACTGATGGAGGCAAAAATATGAGTGGGAATGATAAAGGAGTGGTCGCTCTTGTGTCAAAGGCTGTAGAAAATTACGGCGGCTCAAAACCATTAGTCTTACATTGTATCATTCATCAACAGTCTTTGTGCGGAAAATGTTTGGATATGTCTTACGTTCTGAAACCAGTCATATCAACTGTTAATTTCATCAGATCTTTTGGGTTGAATCACCGACAATTCCGACAATTTATTGCAGAGATTGGTGAAACAAACTTACCTTATCATACTGCCGTACGCTGGCTTAGTTGTGGGAAAGTCCTTCAGCGCTTTTTTGAACTTCGAGCAGTGATCGAAATTTTTTTGAATGAAAAGCACCGCCCTCTTACTGTATTACAAAACAACACATGGCTATGGAAGTTAGCATTCGATGTTGATTTGACAAAACATGTGAACGAACTGAATTTGAGATTGCAAGGAGAAAACCAGCATCTTCCTGATTTATACACTAATATCAAGTCATTCCGGATGAAATTGATACTGTTTCAATCACAACTACGAAGTAAATGTTTTTCACATTTTAAAACATGTTAAATATTCAGCCAAACTACTGAGACTGAGTTTCCTATCGATTTTGCAATCGAAACTTTGAGTGCTTTGAAGATAAATTTCAATACTCGTTTCTCGGATTTTGATGCCATTGCGAATCAAATTAAGATTTTTCAGAATCCTTTTGATGCTGACATTGAAACCCTAGCCCCGGAACTTCAAATGGAAATGATTGATCTTCAGTGCAGTGATATAATTAAGAACAAATATGAAAACTCATCTTTGTTGGAATTTTATAAGAGTCTTCCACTGACACAATTTGATAATTTGCATAAATTTGCTCGTGGGCTGTTTTCCGTTTTTGGTACTACTTATTTGTGTGAGAAAACCTTCTCCAAAACGAAGTATACAAAAAATGTATACAGATCTAAATTAACTGACGAGCATCTTAAATCTCTTTTAATAATTGGTACAAGTAAAATTAGTCCACAACTACAAACTATTGTCGGTGGAAAATCTCAATTACATACATCTCATTAGCATTTTGTATGTCATGTTTGTTATAAGGTATGTGTTGTTCATTACTTACAATGTATAAAATGTTAGTTGGATTCATTTCAATAATTTGTTAGTTATTATATGCTGAAGTTAAATTTACAGCATAAATTATACATGTCTTTACTCATTACCATTCTGTGTTTCTTTATCCAACTTATCACAAACATTTTATTTGCTATAAAAATATTTGTTCTCTAAAAGGAGTTTTCAAGTATGTCTCCGCGGGCCGGACAAAATCTGTCTGCGGGCTGGATGTGGCCCTCGGGCCGTAGTTTGGAGACCCCTGGTATAAGTGTATCATCTGCGTATCGGAAGTTGCTGATTTTTCTGCCTCCTATAGTGATTTCTCCATCCCATTCATCTAGGACTTATCTCATTATCTGTTTTGGTCTTAGTGACATGTATAAATATATTTTGTGGAATATTTTTTTACACATTAAATATACATTTGGCAGGTTATTCAAATTTATACTTCATTATTTTGGTACCATTTGGCAACTGTTAAACTAATAATTTAAACTTAAAAATAAATATTTGGTTACATTGTTATAGTTTATTATATTTTATTAACATTTTTTTTTGTTTTCAGATATTCCTGACATCCCTGAAAGCATCGGCCAGCTGCGTTCCCTCAGAGTTGCAGATTTCAGTTCTAATCCCATACCCCGTCTTCCGCCGGCCTTCATCCACCTTAAGTCTCTCAGCGTTTTGGGCCTCAACGATATGTCGCTCACGTCGCTGCCTCAGGATTTCGGCCAACTTACGTCCCTCACGTCACTCGAACTTAGAGAAAATCTGCTCAAGGAATTGCCCTCTTCTCTGTCGAAGTTGACCAACCTCGAAAGACTTGATTTAGGCGATAATGAAATTGAAGAATTGGTGAGTATTCATAACAATAATGCATTAATAAAATAAGTGCATTTTTAAGAGTATCATTATAAAAAGTCTTCTTTATTGTTTTTCTATTATTTCTCTATTGTTTTAAAAATGCTAAGCTGATTATGATCAATATTTTGTTCTTAGATTGCTTCTTAGATTTAAATATCCTTGTTCTTCAATTTTAACATTATTATTTTTTCATAATCTTAAAATGTTACAATCAATTAGGCATTTGAAAACATATGTTTTTGTTTTTAGCCATCACACATAGGAAAACTGCCAGCACTTCAAGAACTATGGTTAGACCACAATCAATTACAAAGTCTCCCTCCAGAAATAGGTCAACTGAGTAATCTAACATGCCTAGATCTATCCGAAAATCGCCTAGAGTATCTACCAGAAGATATTGCGGGCTTGGAAAGCCTAACTGACTTACATTTATCTCAAAATGTATTAGAAACTCTGCCTGATGGCATAGGAAAGTTAGAAAAACTTACCATCTTGAAGGTAGACCAAAATAGATTAACTTCTTTAAATTCTAACGTAGGCTATTGCCACAATCTACAAGAACTGATCCTTACAGAAAACTTTTTAAGTGAATTACCCGTAGAAGTTGGAAAATTAATCAAACTGACGAACTTGAACGTCGATAGAAATAGTCTTACCTCTGTACCCGAAGACATAGGCAATCTCTGTGAACTAGGCGTGTTAAGTTTGAGAGATAACAGACTTACTATGTTGCCGGACACTCTCGGTAACTGCCGAAGACTCCACGTATTGGACGTTTCTGGAAACAGGCTGCCTTATCTACCTTATACGCTTCTACAATTAAGCCTGAAGGCTGTTTGGCTGAGCGAAAACCAGGCACAATCTCTGCTCACCTTCCAAACTGATACCGATCCGGATACTGGTAAGACCGTACTGACGTGTTTCCTGCTTCCACAACAAGAATATCAACCTACAATAGGTGAGAGCTTTTAAGAGTTTTTTTTTATTTAATCTGCGAGCTTTTGACGATGTTGGTAAAAATATTTTTTACTTATTATATTTGATATGAAATTATGTCACTTCCAAGACAATATAAGAACTTGACCTAATTGAATTATTTACACTGATTTATTTAAACGTTCTACAAGCTTTTACTTGTATAACGAATATAAGAACTTGACCTAATTGAAATATTTACACTGATTTATTTAAACGTTATACAAGCTTTTGCTAGTATGCGAGCTTTTTCATGTTGTTAAATGTTGCTCTAGCTCGTTCTATTCTCGCCTTAATTTCTGTGGCCACATAGGATTCTATATGATCAATTAGTATGCTACTGTCGAGCAGGTTGTTGCTTTTTGCTTATCAGCATCCAAAAAATAATTATTACTGCAAAAACAAAGCGAGTTCAGCTAGCGATCTGTCCAGGTCTACACTCATGAAGATATTAGTCAGTACATTTTAACAGCGGAAACAGATAGGAGGTATTATTTTTAAGGAAGAACCTGACAACACTGCGGTTTTTGCAAGTTAGGATGTTTCTTCTTCTGCTTTTTCTATTTATTGGCTTGCATACTCATGCATCATGTCAGCGCATTTGGTAGTGTTGCAGCTCGTCTTGCTCTAAGCAAAGTCACTAAAGAAACACAGTAAAGAGCTTTTGTTTTTCAGGCTTTAACTAAAAAGTTACTTTTCTATAAGGATGCTTAAGATAATTTGAAATAAGCCTAATATTCTCTGCACAAACTAGTTCGGTGGCATGACCACCATGGTATCCTCATGACGGCCAAGCCTCGAATCCCCAAGATAGGGTTAGTTTGAGGGATGTTTTTAAATCATGAGCGGTGGCGTTAGAAGTAGTAATTACTCACTTTTCACTTTTTTGGAAGATAGGAGGTCACCGATGATATGCGAAATCGAACGACGGTTTTTCAATAAAGGAACCGAATAGAATAAATGCGACAAGAAAATGACAGACAAATTCGTGAGAATGGTCATAGATAAATGAAAAATAATAAAACGCTCCAGAAAACGATCACGGAACTATTCATAAAAACCAAAGTAAACCGCCTTATTGCAAAAGATGAAGGGAGAAAAATAATCTATTAATCATTATGATTTTGTTGAATCGATAGTCGATATATCCTGGATTTAACTAAATTTAATGCTACAGTTATACTATTATTCCTGTTTATAATATACGACATTTATGATATCTGAACTTCGACCTATACTCCAGTCTTCTAGTTGCATATAAAATATTTTCGCTCAAAGGAAATTCTAATGGGGACGAATACTCTGAAAATATTACTAACTCAAAACCTCAAAACAGGATAAACATATTTTGCATACCGATACACGCGACCTAAATCTCATGAGAAATATGTCCCTTTCAAAGTTAAATTACAATTCCCTTTGAAGAGAAGTGATTATAAAGTGTATATATGATTTGAGTATACTCAATTTTCGATAAAATAAGAAAATAAAGTCTACGGCGCAAAGAATAAATTGTGCGACAAACTAAGTAGAAATTTTTTTCCTAAAGTTGACTTCACAAGGATTGTGAGATTTTACGGTCGATATTTTTTAACAATATATTGGTTTCTGGACGTATATATTTTTTTGTCTGGAATTATTTGTTCGTGAAGTTTCATTTGCACAATTATTATTAAAGATGTGAGTTCTCTCTTACAGGCTGGTCGCTATTCTTCTATAGGTGTCTCGTGATGGTGGGGTATTTGATGTTTTGTACTTCGTGTAGGCCTTTCATTTCTCTTTAATTTCTTTTTAGAACCATGGTGTATTGTTGTTACATTATTTTGCATTATATATAATAGTTATATTAATATAACCTTGTTATTTTTACTAATTTTTGATTCCTCTTGAGACCTTTAATGTATTTAACCTACGAGAAAACTTCAATTATTTATAACAAGAGAATTATTTAAAATTCTTTGTTCCCGATAAACAAGAGGCGCGTGCATACTTCAAACTTGGACTAGCGGATGTCACACACTGGACTATTTCATTACCCATTTGGTATTTGTGACTCTTGTGTGTAACGTTAGTAACGCCTAATATAAGAGAGATATCAAGTGAAAGAGTGAGAATACGGTAACGTTATTTTGACAGCGGAGCATGCGCAGTATGAAATGTGAATAACGTAAATGATTTTAACGTTTACGGGCTCCGTTACCGTACGTCGAATAACGGGTTTGATATACGGTAACGTTAGCAGCGAATCGCATCAATTCGTCAAGACTCGGAACTCGGAGATTAAAGTCTCTGTTCTGTAATTTTATTTCTGTTCATTAGTTAACATGTGTTTTCCGTTTTCTTGGTTAAGCATCTGCGAGAGAAATAAAACATTTTATTATATTTCATTATATTTATCAATTATAAACACGGAAATAGTAAAAAAGACAAAAAAGGCTGCGTTTTACAAGCACTGATAACCTTTTACTAGTAAAAGAAGTGCGAGGAGTCAACCCTCTGGAATGCCCTGTTTTTCAAACCGAAAATATGAAAAATGTTTGGCTTGCTCAGGCTCTAAGCTATCAAAATTGAACACAGAATGTACATTTTGTATGTTATTATTTAAAATATGATTTTATGTTGATGTTTACAAGATGGTTTAGTATTAAATCTTTTATAACTTTGTCATTTGCTTCAACTAATATTGCTTGTTCTAAAATGTCTTCCATATTTCTGTAGAAAAAAATTTGAAACGCAAAATGTACAAAATAAGACAAAATATTACCTCTTAGATGAAAGAAAACATAAAAAAATTAATTATTTTGCTGTCAAATACGACATTTTTCTGACAGCTGCCAACTATTAACGTGAAGCACCAATTCCACCATTAGATAACTCTAAAATTACATATCCGTTAAAACTTTATACCGTAAAAAATAGCGTTTACGTGTCAAAATAACGGAAGGATAAAATTTTACTTGATAACTCTCTATTCTTACTTTACGTTACTTGTCCCGTTCAAACAAAGAAATCTGGTCCAATCATAAAAGGGTGTCTGAACGAACGGGTCAGTTGCGTGTAAGTGATTGAGAAATCAATCGGTTTGTACTTTGTGTTGTTTCTCCAACAGGGAACAACCAAGGAGATCCATAAATCCATAATGTACTTCTTTGAAAATGTGTCTAAGATAACTGGAGATACTATTGACCACTGTTGTAGCATTATTACATACATAAAAATGCTCTTTTGTCGCCATTCACAGATTTGGAGGTATCTTTCATCATCATCTAGCCTCGAAGAGTCCACTGCTGAATATAGGCCTCTTCCTCATGTTTCCAACCCCGTCTATCTTGCGCCGCTCTTATCCAGTTTTTATTGAGTCTTCTTAAATCGTCATTTCATCTTGTAGGTGGTCGACCGACGCTTCTCTTGTCTTCCCTTGGTCTCCATTCCAATAACCTCTTTGTCCATCGCCCATCTGTCATTCTGGCTATGTGTCCTGCCCATCTCCATTTTAGTCTGGCTATCTTCTCGATGATGTCAGTCACTCCGGTTCTTCTCCTGATGTCTTCGTTGGTTATTCTGTCTCGCAGAGTTATTCCTAACATGGACCGCTCTATTCTTCTCTGCGCGACTCTCAGTTTGGTAGCTGCTGTTTTTGTTAAGGTAAGTGTTTCTGCTCCGTATGTCAAGACTGGGAGGACGCACTGATCAAATGCCTTTCTCTTTAGGCATGTGGGCAGCTCACTTTTAAAAGTTTCTCTCAGTTTTCCAAATGCTGCCCACCCAAGGCCGATTCTTCTCTTCAGTTCATGAGTCTGGTTATCCCTGCCAATCATAATTTCATGTCCCAGGTATTTATATCTATCTACGAGTTCTATTTCTTTCCCACCAATACTGATGTTCTGGTTGGGTACCAAATTGGTCATGATTTTTGTTTTCGAGATATTTATATTTAAACCTACATTTTCTGTAGCCACAACGAGTTCCTGTACCATCTCTCTTGCCATACCTAGATCTTCAGCTATTATAAGTATATCATCGGCGAAACGTAAGTTGTTTAGATATTCTCCATCTATTTTTATTCCCTTTGTCATACAATCCAAATTCTTAAAAGCATGTTCTAGCACCGTATTAAAAAGTTTAGGTGACATTGGGTCTCCTTGTCTAACCCCCCTCTATTTTTATGCGATTACTGTTAGTATGTAATCTGACAGTGGTTGTTGCCTACTGGTATATTTTGTATAATAATTTAGTATATCTATAATCTAGCCTGCATTCTTTAAGCGCCTGTAATATTTTGCTTAGCTGAACTGTGTCAAAGGCTTTGTGAAAATCGATAAACATTAGAACTAGAGGTTTATTGTATTCCACTGCTTTCTCTATTAGGGTTTTTATACTTTGTAGATGGTCATTTGTTCCGTAACTTTTTCGGAATCCTGCCTGTTCCCTTGGTTGATAAGTCTCTAATTTTCTTTCCATTCTCTTAACTAGTATTCGCGTAAACAACTTATATATATATATATATATATATATATATATATATATATATATATATATATATATATATATATATATATGGCTGAGGAGGCTCATCGGTCTGTAATTCTCTAAATTTGCTTTGTCTCCTGCTTTGTGTAATAGAATCATAGTAGCGTTGTTCCAGTCTGTTGGAATATTGGCGCTGTGAAGGCAGATATTGAAAAGTTGTTTAATTTTTTTCAAGTAATACATCTTCACCCATCTTCGATTATTTTTCATTTTCTTCAGGGCTTCCCCTGGAGGTATCTTTACACGATAAAAAATCATTTTTTCTTTGATGGACTGTTTCAGATCACTGGAGTTCACCTTTGGCACTAGTATAACATTAACGCATTGGTTAGCCCATCTTGCTTTAAGTCAGTATTTAGGCAGTATAATATGTTGTGGAAAAAATGAATTTGTAGTGGTTCAAATTTATTTCCTTAAAACACCTTACACATGCTACATTTTCAGATTTGGTTT